AAGAGAGCTCAAGCTGCCACTTCTCTTTTGGTCCCCAGTGACAGGGTGGGGGGTGGGGAGCAGTATCAATTCCTCCCCACGTTACTTCAAGAAGCTATACACCCCAAGGAAATTTGCTGGAGCTCCTGTTGGCAGGCTGTGTTGGGGCACCTGCAAGGCAGGCTGACGGAATCAGTTGTTTCTAAGCACTAAATGCATCAGATGGAAAGTAGAATGACCTAAACATGATGTGAGCTCATTCATTGGAAACATGGATTGTTGTTAAATATTCTTGAAGAAGCTTGGTTTGTGATTCAGTGATTATTTCACGTTGGTGGATGGTGTGTTATTTGTCCAAGTTGGGGTGAGGGGTGATGGCCACAGTGGTGATACTAAATATAAGTATTTTGAGGGCCGATGTGTACATACATCTTAACTGTTGGCAGTAATGAGGGGTACTGTGTTATGAGTGAGTGTTGCTAATGCCTAGCATTGACACTCATATGTATGTTTGAGGCCTGGGAAGCACTCGGGAGTGTTTTAATGACATGTTTTCATGCTTAGGAGAAAGATTTTTTTTCTTAAAATTGACTATTTGGAACCTTGCATGTCTGCAGACAGTGTCCTCCCCACCCTGTCAGGTTCTGGGTGGGTACAAGTTATGGTAATGATCACTGCCCTGATCACTGATCTCTATATTTATAGCCATTCCTTCTCATTTCAGAACTGTTTGTCCTAAATGTGTTTTTCTAGTTCTTCTAGAAAATGACCACTAATTAAAAATCTCTTTGGTCCTGAGCTTTGCCTGGAGGTACTTGTTCCAGGATTGCCCCTCCTGCTTCAGCCATGCCCTTGTTACTTTCCTTCAGCCGTCACTTGGCATTGTAGTCTTAAGCTGCTGCTGCCCCAACACAATGTACCATGCTAAGATTAGAGCTGTGGGCAACCTCGTCACATATGAAAATGCTCAACTTGGCACAAAGAAGAGAATTGCGAAGGGGTGCACCTCTATCTGGTTGTAAATAGACATGCCAACTATGGAAGGGGGTGACGTTCTGTTGTGCTCCCACAGTAACTGAACAGAAGTAGGGAAGCTGGTAAGTGATCTCTGATTAAGCAGATATTTAATTCTAAAGAAACTTAAGTCCACTTGATCTACTCGCTGCTTGCAGCAAGACTACTATTCACCCTATCACAAGATTGCTTGTCTTGATGGAATGATGCTCTGTAGCCTCTGAGGTGTGACAAGTGGCATAGTGTCACCACCTAAGGCTTAGGCGTTACTTTATTTCTGGGCCCACAGTAGGTGCTCTTGCAATGCCAACCTGTGTGTGTGTGTTTTTAATCTAAAGGTCAGTACCTGCTTTCTTTAACCACCTCTCTCTTCCAACCTCCTCACCCTGTTCTTAAATGGTGTTTTATCCTTTGGAAAGAATATGGCTGTGATGTAGCAACTATTGTCTATGTCTCCTGTGTGTCTTTATTGTCACAAATGTATTTGGGGGACATTAGATGCATTCGTTTACTGTAATAAAGTTTCTTAATCAGTCATCCCCAAAAGTAATCAGTGGGCTGTCTGCAATCTGTTTGAGATACTGAATCTATGTATTTTGGGTTGATTATAATCAAGGTTTTAGAAGTACAAGCTTTGCTGTAACCACAGATCCAGACTAACATTTAATGAAAAGATAACATCAAAAAGGGCAAGTGTTAAGGACTCCAAAGCCCCTAGATCAACCCTCCAGACAGGGATAGAGGGAGGAGTTGGCTCTGGAGCTCTATGCCAGGGCAACTACAATTTGCAAGATGCCAAAGTGACTGTGTACTTGTAATCAGCCAGCCCTACCAACCAAGGGTTGGGGCTTTGTTGGCTGACAGAGCCAGCTCAAAAAGGAATTTTGGATGAGAGGGCCCTAGGGTCCTCTTGCTGCTCTTGGGCCGTGGCTTAGTTTCCTGTGGGGCCCAGGGCTACTTGGGAAGAAATTACTGATGGGCCAATTTGGCAACTGCAGACTTCCCTTCCTGCTTCAACCAGAGCAGACCCTCACTGTGTTTTTTTTATCTTGAACACCCTTCTAAGATTTTAACTTAAAAAAGAAGCTGGGGCACCATATTTATAAAGGGGAAAAAACCCACATCATCTCAATGGATATATAAAAAGCATTTGATTAAATCCAGTATCCTTTCTTGTTAAATAACACTCAGAAAACAGACTAGATGGGAACTTAATCAACCTGATACAAAGCGCTAAGGAAAACCCACAGCTAATACAATGAAAGATGCTTTCCCCCTAAATTCAGGAAGAAGACAAGGATGCCTGCTTGTGCCATTTCTATTCATCATTGTACTAGAAGTTCTAGCCAGGGAAATTAGGCAAGAAAAAGTAAAAGCATTCAGCCCTGGCCAGGTAGCTCAGTTGGCTAGAGTGTCATCTAATATGCCAAGGTTGAGGGTTTGATTCCCAGTCAGGGCATATGCAAGAATCAACCAATAAATGCATAAATAAATGGAACAACAAATGATGGACTCAGACTTCCCAATTTCAAATTTATTATAAAGCTCTAATAACCAACACAGTGTGGTACTGGCTTAAAAACAACATGTCTGGCCGGCATGGCTCAGTGATTGAGCATAAACCTATGAACCAGGAGGTAACTGTTTGATTCCCCATCAGGGCACATGTCTGGGTTGCGGGTTTGATCCCCAGTGTAGGGTGTGCAGGAGGCAGCCAATGAATGATTTTCTCTCACCATTGATATTTCTATCTCTCCCTCTCCCTTCCTCTCTGGAATCAACAAAAATATATTTAAAAAATAAAAACAGAACAGACAGACCAATGGAATAAAACTGAGAGTTTAGAAATAAACCCATATATCTATGGCCAATTGATTTTTGATAAGGGTGCCAATATCATTCAAGTGGGGAAAGAATAGTCTTTTAAATAAATGGTATTCACATGTAAAGGAATGAATTTCAACCCCTACCTCACACCACATACAAAAATTTAGTTTAAAATGGATTAAAGACTCAAATGTAAAAGCTAAAACTATAAAATTCTTAATAGGAAACATAGGTGAAAACCATTGTGACCTTGGATTTGGCAATGGTTTCTTAGGATTTCAAAAGTGCAAAGCAACTGAAGAAAACATTAGATAAATCTAATTTAAAAAATATTTTGTGCTTCAAGCAATATCATCAGGAAAGTAAAAAAAACCTAATGTGCGAAAATATTTGCAAATCACATCTCATAAGAACTTAGTATTCAAAATATATAAGGAACGATTACAACTCAAAGATAAAAAGTAAAAAAAAAGTTTAAAATGTGCAAAAGATCTAAATAGACGTTTCTCCAAATAAAGTTTACCAATAAGCACATCAAAAGATTCTCTGCATCATTAGTCATCACGAAAATACAAATCAAAACCATAATGTGATACCACTTCACTTCCACTAGCGTGGCTATCCTATATAATAAAAGCCTAATATACGAAGTGTCAGGTCGATCAATCAAAGCATAATATGCTAATGATATGCTAAGGCCGCTCAACCACTCGCTATGATGTGCACTGACCACCAAGGGGCAGATGCTCCGACTGGTAGGTTAGCTTGCTGCTGGGGTCCAGCCAATCGGGACTGAGTGAGATGGGCTGGATATGTCCTGGAGGCTTCCCACGCTCTCTCCCCGACTGTTTAACCTCCCACATTCCTCCCCGGTCCCGATCGTGCTTGGCACACTGCTACATCCCCCAAGGGCTCCCGGACTGTGAGAGGGATGTCTGACTGCAGGGATAGGGCCTACGCCGGCAGTCAGACATCCCCCAAGGGGTCCTGGACTGCAAGAGGGTGCAGGCCGTGCTGAGGGACCCCCCCCCTGCACAAATTTCATGCACCAGGCCTCTAGTAATAACATAAAAAGGAAGAAAAAGCTAGTAGTAGTGGGGATGTGGAGCAACTAGAATCCTTGTACAATGCTGGTGGGAATATACAATAATGCAGTCTCTGGGGAAAATAGTACAGTCCCTCAAGTTAAACATAGAATATGAACAGAGACTATGATCCAATGATTCCACTCTTTTTTTTTTTAAACTTTTTCTTTGTTGGTTAAGGTATTACATATGTGTCCTTATCGCCCCATTTCCCCCACACACAATTTTTCCATTCTTAATATACAACCAAAGAATTGAAAACAGGTATTCAAACAAATACTTGTATTTGAA